GAGGATTTTGAGCATCACTTTGCTAGCATGTGAGATGAGTGCAAATGTGCAGTGGTTTGAACATTCTTTGGCATTGCCTTTCTTTGGAATTGGAATGAAAACTGACCTTTTCCAGTCCTGTGGCCACTACTGAGTTTTCCAAATTTGCTGGCATATTGAGTGCAGTACTTTAACAGCATCATCTTTTAGGATTTGAAATAGGTCAACTAGAATTCCATAACCTCCATTAGCTCTGTTCATAGTGATGCTTCCTAAGGCCCACTTGACTTTGCATCCCAGGACAACTGGCTCTAGGTGACTGATCACACCATCGTGGTTATCTGGGTCATGAAGAGCTTTTTTGTGTAGTTCTTCTGTGTATTGTTGTCACCTCTTCTTAATATCTTCTGCTTCTGTTAGGTCCATACAATTTCTGTCCTTTATTGTGCCCATCTTCACATGAAATGTTCCCTTGGTATCTCTAATTTTCTTGAAGAGCTCTCTAGTCTTTCCCATTCTATTGTTTTCCTCTACTTCTTTGCCTTGATCCAAGGAAGGCTTTCTTATCTCTCCTTGCTATTCTTTGGGACTCTGCATTCAAATGGGTGTATCTTTCCTTTTCTCCTTTGCCTTTAGTTTCTCTTCTTTTCTCAGCTATTTGTAACATACACAAGTAGTTGTAGTGCATGGGATTTATTGTCTCATGGCATGTGGGATCTTCCCGAACCAGAGATCAAATCTGCATTGGAAGGTGGATTCTTAACCACTGGACCACCATGGAAGCCCCCATAGAATAAGTTTTTTAAATACATAAAATGCATGGGGTTATAAAGGAAACCATGTGATAAGAAGTAATCAAAGTCAACTTGACATGTCTTGTACACATGCTTGCATGTATGTGTGCTCAGTTGTGTCCGACTCTTCGTGATCCTGTGGACTGTAGTCCATCTGGCTCCTCTCTCCATGGGATTTTTCAGACAAGAATACTGGAGTGGGTTGCTATTTCCTCCTCCAGGGTATCTTCCAGAATCTCCTACATTGCAGATAGATTCTATACCCACTGAGGCATAGATAAACCATGTGATAAAATAATCATCAAAGTCTTTATATGACTTGTGTATGTCTTGTATATAATGTATTACTATATCACAAAAATGTGTGATATTTGTGCTTCCTCATTAATGGATTAAGTAGCTACCCAAATTTTGATGTACTGATGATAGAAACAGTACTTCAAGATACCTGGAATCATTGCAGCATGATTTGAAAATAATTGTCATTTTGGTTGAGCCAGGTTTCATGAAAGAAATGTCAAACTGTAGTTGGAGGTCAAATAAAGGAAAGGTGTGATAATGTGGTTCCATCGAAGGCCATAGACCCCAGTCCCCTTCATCTACCATCCATGAGTCAAGATTAGGCACCCCTGGCCCAGACCAGTCATTGTTGGGGGTCAGCTTCATTGATAGCACCCTCCAGATATCAAATTTGAATCTATCCCAAGTGTCTCTATCTTCAATGCAAGACTTATTAGCATTTATTGTGATTATTGATATACTTAAACCTATTCCTGTGACCTGGTTTCAGGTTTTGCAAGTTTCCTGCTGTTCCTACCCATCCACCCCCATTTCCTACTCTTGTTAGGTATGTCAAAATGTCTTCCTTCCAATTCTTTCTTCTTATGGTTTGGAAGTTTTATATTTCTATTTATCTAGTAGTTTAAATTTTTTAACATGCATATTTGAATTTAGCTCTCCCAACCCGTGTCTGTCCCCATGAACAAGATACACCACTTTTCAGTTTTATTTCACCCCATCCTCTCCCCTCCACTGCCCAGAATGAGATCATTTGGATTCTCCTCCCAGACTGCTGAGAGTATTTTCCAGGCTTCGTCCCCTGATAAAAATAGTTTCACTGGCTCCTGCAGCCCATGTCTTCCTCTCGGGTTCATTTTTCGTTTTGCTAGAGTATCTGAGCTAGTAATTATTTTGGATGGTATTTGTTGGAAATAAACTCTCCTAACACTTGGCACGACCCAAAAAAGTGTGTGTTTTTCCTCCTAACTGAATGGCTGTTAGGCCTGCTCGAGAATTATAGGCTCAAATCACTTTCCCTCCAAAATGTGAAGGTGCCCCTCCATTGTTTGGAACTTGCAGCTGTCTCATGTCAGGCTTATCCTTTTCTTTTTTTTTGGAGGTAATGTGTTTTTTTCCCCACTGGGAGCTTTTCTTTGATCCCTCTCTCTTCTGCTTTCTAAAGTGTCCTCCTGTGTCCCCTTCAGCCCAAGGCTGCTCCCGTGTATTCTTTCCCGAAGCATTCCTTTCCTTCTTCTCTCTGTCCTTCGGAATTCCTTTACAATAACTGAATGCAGAAAACTGGGCTCATGTCCCATTTCTTAACGTTTCCTTCCTACATTATAACTTTTGGTCTCTGACTCTGTGTTCTGGAGAATTCCACAGTTTGACCGTCCACCTCACTAGTTCATCACTTTGATGTGTCCACTCTACTTCTCAGCCCACCTATTGAGTAGTTTTTATCACATCCAAATTTTTTTATGTCCTAAGACATTGACTTGATTTTCGGAAATATCTTTAAAATACTTTTCCTCCACTTACATTTCCCCTGGTTGTTTCCTATCACCTCCCCAGTTTTCCCAAATGTTTAGCCCTGGCATAACAAGGCAAGCACGTTATTATTTCCAGCTCACCATATCCGTTTCCCTACCATCCACAAGCCAGCCACTAAGCTAACGCCGCATATTTTAGAGTTTTGTCACAACAGCTCCCTGGGTGCCCATTTCTGCATTAGTTAGACTGGGCGTATTAGTCAGCTGTTGCCACAACAATGCTGCATAACAAACCACTCCAAAGCTTCTGTGTCTTAGACAACAGTCACTGATGCTCACACTCACAGCTCTGAGAGAGGATGTGGGTGGGTTCAGGACTGCTCCAGGGCTCCCTCACCCTCCGTGGACCAGTGGTGTCCCATTAGCACATGGGAAGGAATTTGGGAGGAAGTGGCGGGGGTGGGGGTGGGGTTGTGGACAGCTGCAATCTCAGCCCCACCTCGTCCGAAATCCTTCATTTGTGGCTTGCTCTTCATATGCAAGGTTTCCTGTTCATCCATCAATAAGTGTTTACTGGCCTCGAAACTGTGTTTGTGGGTCTGACCAGCTTCTGGGGGCATGAGTGACCATTCTGGGGACATGTGGTTCCCTGCTCTTCTAGGTGTTGTTCATTAATGTAATTTCCCCTTTGTCTACAGCTGCTGCTTATCACAGCTGGGGTGGGGTTGGTCCCAGATAAACCTGTGCATCACCCTGACAGTACCTCAGGGCCTTTCAGCTGCTGCCTCAAAGCCACCCATCAATTGCCAGCAGTTTCTTCCCTGGAGCCAAAGGAACCACCCACCACCCCTAGGATTTCTTGGGCTATCTGGGCTTGAAGGGAACCCTTCCTGTTCTCCTGGTTATAGGGAGTTTTTTCATTTTTCTGTCATTTCTAGGCATTGAGGGTAGAGTACAGACTGTTAGGAAGCATCTGGACCATCAACTTGATTTTTTATCTCTTTGAGGCATCTAAACCAGTCCAATTCTCAAGCCTTGGATGCTTAGACCCCGGGAACAGAATTTCCAAGGACCTGTGATGGGTCTGCCGGTTGCAACATGGTCTGGACCAAGGCAGGCTGCTGGAAGGGGCTGCCTGCTTCCACCTGGCTGCTGCTGGCCTCCTGAGGCCTAGTCCAGGATCTCCATGACCCCTGGAGGAAGGAACCCCAAGGTGGTGCCTTAGGGGCCACTGGGAGAACCCCAAGGTGGTGCCTTGATGCTCACTGACTAGTGGCTTTAGCAATAGGAAACTGGACCGTAACTTTGGTGGCAGCAGCCCAGTGATGTGGACACTGACAATTCTCAGGCTAAACCCAGCAGGTCCCAGGACATTTGTGACAGGGCAGGTCCCTCTGCCATTGGCATCTTACCCACACACAAGGTTCAGCTCACCCCTGGACCAACAGGATCCTGTAAAGAAATCCCTCCCCCACCAGTGTTTTCAAGCAGAATCATCCCCAGATGTTTTGCTCCAGTTTCTACTCTTATTTGTCATCAAAATTTGAACAGAGGTTTGAAGACCAAGGGCTTCCCTTGTAGCTTGTAGTCGGTAAATATCTGCCTGCAGTGCAGGAGACCCGGGTTTGATCCCTGAGTTGGGAAGATCCCCTGGAGAAGGAAATGGCAACCCACTTCAGTATCCTTGCCTGGAAAGTCTCATGGAGAGAGGAGCCTGGTGGGCTGCAGTCCATGGGATCGCAAAGAGTCGGGCACGACTGAGCGACTAACTTGCTTACTTACTTGGAGACCAAGAAAAGTTTAGAAGCCACCCTTCCTGAGGCCTGGGACCACCGGTTGTGTTTCCTTCTCCTGTCTTTCTGGTGCTTTCAAAGAAGGTGCAGGACTGCACTGGGCTCAACTTCTCCTCTAAAAGCAAGCCAACCTGCTTTTAATGAAAAGATGGGAACTAGTAATTTGGGATTACCTTCCTCCTTTCTGGGGCGGCAGCAGGGGAGTAATTAAAGGGTCAGAACTATGCTCATCACCATAGGGCTCAGGTGAGGGCACAGGCAGAGGCCCTGGCTGTGACCCCCTCCTCCACCCGTAAGCTGGGAAGAACCCCACCTCTGTGCAGCAGACCTGCAGCCCCAGCCATGGAAGGTCCATATCTCAGAGTCCCGGGGCGGCGTCTTTCTTCCCTTCAGTATGACCCAGCCCGGGAAGACAGGGGCCACCGTTCATTTGCGGTGACCCTGAGACAGACGCCTGGCAAGGAGTGAGGCCAGGACTGGCTCCTGGGCCCCAACTCTATCCCAGGAGACAGTTCCGGGTGGCGAAGCCCCTGAGCAGCGCCCCATTCCGGGGCCCCGGGACGCTCTCAGAGCATCATTTTTCCCTTCCGGAGTGTTGCATTTCTTTGCAAGTCCCGGGAGAGATATGCGCGGCGGACTCCAGGGAAGAAAGCGACGGGCGGTTCTTAAGCAAATCCCTTGGGCCCCTGGGGACCCGCTCCGGAGCCGCCACGCGGTGTCACCCCCACCCCCTCCGCACTCCAGGGCATTTTTCCCGAGAGCGGATTCGGAGGTAGAACGCGCGGGGGCCTTGGGCGGAGAGTCAGCCGCTTTCGAAGCTCCGCTTGGGCCCGGGCACAGGCCTGCCCGACGCCGTCCAGCAGCGTACGACTCCGGGTCCGCGGCGCCTTCGTCCTCGACTCGTCCGCCCAGCCCATTGGCTCAGACGTGCGCCGCCCGCGTCTCTGCGAGATCCCATTGGCCGGCGGCCGCGGCTTAGACAAAGGGAGCGGCGGCGGCGGGCGGCGATTGGGCCGGGAAAAGGATGGGGAAGGCGTGGAGGGGGCCAGAGGGGAGGGAAGAAAGAGAGCGGGGCCGGAGCGGGGGGAGCACCCGCACAGGCGGGGGCGGGGGTGGGGGCGCGGACTGAGCCGGGGAGGGCGGGGCGGGAGGACAGCGAGTGGGGGAGGGGTGGAAGAGCGAGGATGGGGGGGAAGCAGCAAGGGAGGGGCGGGGGCGCGGAGCTGCGCAGGGAGGGGAGGATAGGAGGGCTCGAGGTCGGGGGCGGGGGGGGGAGAGGCGAGGGGTTTAAGGAGAGGAGGGGGAGAGCGGGGGTGTTCGAGGGGGAGGACTCCAAGGCCCAGTGGAGGCGGGGGCGGGGCCCCTCCGCGGGGGCGGGGCCGAGAGCCCCTGGAGGGCGGCGGCCGCAGGGCGCGGGGCGGCGGGAACCCGCCCGCCCCTCCGCCCAGCACCCCTCCCGCCCCGGGGCTTCTGCGCGGACCGCGGCCGCCGCTGCCTCCTCGTCTTCCCCGAGGGTTCCGCGTCCGTCTACGCCAGCTCGGCCGCGAACGTGGGAAAGCGGGAACCTGGGTCTAGAAGGACGCGCCCGGACCCAGGTCTGGACGTGCAACTGGAGCCGCAGCGTAGCGGCGGGACGCGCCGCCCCTTGATCTTGGAGCCCCTCTCCGGGACTGCTGGGCCTCGGGGTTCCTCTGCGCGTCCGCTCGCAGGGAGGAGATGCGGGCCCTGGCGCTGGAAGACGTGTCCGGCGCGCGGACAGGAAGCTCCTCGCGCTTCCTGGAGAGTTGGCTCGGCGGGGTGCGTCGCCTGGGAGGGAGGGATGGGCCGTGGGGCGACCGGCCGGGCGGGGAGTGGCTTCTGGGGGCCCCCTCGCCAGCGGCGGGCCCGCGAGGCCGCCCTCGGAGCGCCGCCAGGTACGTGCGTTTTCCTTTTTTCCCGCGCGCCCAGGGCGCACTCCGGGTAGGGAACGAATAAAAACCCGGCTGGTGTGTAAGAGCCTTTCGCTGCACACGTGTCTTTCTGCAGGGCTCGGGGTGGGCTGCTGAACTCGGGGTAGACACTGGCCTAGTCTGTACCTGTGGCCTCGGTCAGAGGACTGTACCCTACTCCACCTCGGGGCTCGGAGGAAATGTCTCTTTGCAGAAGCCTGTCCCTTTCCTCTAGGTTGCGTTTAATTTGCCGAGGAGACCATGCGCCCTTCTTCGGCCTCTGGGCTGGGTTTATGGGGCTTTGTGCAGTCTCCCCCACCCCTAACCCCTGGAACCCCAGGGATTTTCAAGCGGGGCCGCTCATTCTGAGGGACGATCGCTGGCAACTCGGGATGGGGAAACCCGACCTTGATCCCGCGCTAGGCGGACAGGTCCCCTTGTCCGGTAGTTAGCCACACGAGTCCCGGACTTGCCTGTTAGGGGAGGCCCTTGGGCTTTGCTTTTTGGTGGTTTGGGGAGGCCCTTTAGCTGGCTTGGGGCTGGCTCCCTCCCCTCCCCCATGCCGACTTCAAACAAAAGAAGTCTTAGGAGAATCGTTTCCTGGGGAGAACTCTTCCAAATGTGAATATAGTTTCCCCCGCCCCAGTTCTTAGGATGGGACAGCCTTTACAACAAAGAGGAAGGTTGGAGACAGTTGAAGGAAAGGGCGCGCTTTTATTTAGGGAGACTTTGAGAGAGAGAATGCACATTTCACTTTCTTTCCGTTTTCTTACCTGATTAATGGAGTTTTAGGTGATGTTTGGATATGGGATATTTTCGTTTGGAGACTTTCAGAAAAAGAAGAGGGCTAGATCGATGAGAAATTGGCAATTTGGTCTCCACTAGGTGGGGAAAAATACCCCATGGAGTGAAACGTATTGCTTGCCCTTTAGGGGAAGACTGAAAATTAGGGATTTGATGGTTAAAAGGGAGGGGTTAATTTTGTGTCATTTTCTACCGTGACCACCCCCCCCCCCCGGCATAAGTCGGAACAAAGGGCCCAGGTGAAAGGGTTCAAATCGGGCCCGCTGTAAAAACCTCCCAGTTCCCGCGCACCAGCGAATATTCCCATCGGAGTTTGGGTTGGAAAGAAAAAGAATCAACGCCCCAGAGTCCGCATGTGTACCAATACCCAGCTCGCGAGCCTCCACCGCTCTGGGGAAGCCTGGTTACCGGGCTGGGGAGCGAGGGACCCGGTGGGCGGGAAACGCCTCTCCTGGGGATAAAGCGCAGTTTCAGTTTCCACCTTCCCCGGAAGAACCGAGAGGTTCGCGGTGTCCCGGCGGCGCCCGTCCCCGCTCGCCCGGCGTGGCGCTCCCGACACAGACCCGCATCCATCAAAGCCCGGGACCTCACTTCTCTCGAAATACTTAAAACTCAACAAGCCATAAAAGGCTCCCGATTCCAGTGGAAAAGGCGTCGAAGATTTATGGTCCCTTGGATTCCCCACACTCTAATTATGCCTGTTTTTAGTTGACTTATGGGTGGTGACCACTAAAATCATTTTCCATTTGTATTTTTTTCTTTTAACATGAAAAATGCGAGCTTCTCTTTTTCTTACCGGCTTGGGCAGGCATTTTTCCGTTCCGGAAGAAAAATCCGGCCTCCTTCTGCCTTCTCTGTGGCCTCTGGCTGGGTGTACTGGACCTGTGGAATCCCTCCATAGCCCCCTTAATTGCAGTTTAGGGGAAAGTATTTTTTTCTTTCTGCGATCGTTAACAGGTATTCTTCCCTTGAAGCACTTCCCCATGGCGCACTAGTTTCCCTGCGGATTGCTTGGGGTTCAGAACCCTGCTCCCACTAACTCTGGCCCAACGACTGGGGGTGAGCCTAGCCAGAGAACAAGTCCCCCTATGGTCCCAGCTCCAGGAGTCACCCTCGTCCGCCCTCCTGGGAGCCTGGGGCATTAAGGGGTGCCCCCCCACGGTCCTGAGGGATCCGGAACCTACCCCACACCACTGTCTGGCGGCCCCATCCCCCATCTTCCCTTTGTTTGCCACTCCGGACTCTGAGTTGAAAGTGGCAGGAAAAAAATAATTAGATGGAAATCAAAGATTAGACAGGCACGCTGGCTGGCGGCCTCAGTGAGGCCTGGCCGACACTCTGATGGAGCCTCATAAATCTTCACGGGCCTGACAAAAGCTGTGTCCTCTGGTTCTCTGGGAATTTGGGAACTTACCGATCTCCTCACAGAGTCCTCAGGGGCCTCAATTTCTGCCTGGCGCAGAGTTCTCAGAAATGGATGAAGGCGTGGTAGGGGAAAGGGGTGGTCTGGCCAGCGAGTGACCAGGGCCCAAGACCCCCATCCGAGGAAGGGCAGCAAATACCCTCACCCATTTTGCTAACAAATATTACAAGGGTGCTGTATTCCCCTACCTGAACTGCCTCAGGAGGGTGTGGTGGGGAGGACAAAAAAGGGCATGTGTTGGGGGGCCGTTAACCCCTCGCTAGCGACTCCTTTGTCTGGCCAGTCCATTGCTGAGACAAGTGGCATCCTGGCCTGTGTACTAGGCACCAAAGTCAGGAGAGCCAGCCTGGCTTCCAAGGACCCCCTCCCTGGCTCAGGTGTGCCGGCTGTGGGTGGGGACCGCTGATGCAGGTTCAGCTGAGCCTAGAGGTCTCTGCATCCTTCTCCAGAGGTCCCAGCATCAGAGGTTTTCGGGCCCATGTGCGATCCACCCGGGAGCTGTGCCCCCGACCAGCCTGGGTGGGAGAGAACGTGAAAGAGGTCTCGGCCTGTTTAGATCGTTTTAAAAACTTGAATTAATTGGGAAAATAGTAACTGAGCTTTCCTATGAAGGGAAGAGGTTGGGGGGGGGGGTGTCTTTTTTGTTGTTGTTTTTTAAAATTATACCCCCTTGTTGTGGCAGTTGTTTTTGACCTTTTCATAGTGTTATAAGAAATGTTGCAACGTTTAATTTCTATTGCCATGAGATATGGAGAGGGTAGCCCAACATTTTGAAGTAATTTGATAAGGCTTCGAGTAGCAAATCCGAAAGGAGGGCTGGCGGCCCAGGTATAGTTTCTTTATAACCTGAATTTACAATGAAAGCATTCTCCTTTATGGATATAATAGATTAGATTTCACAACTTAATTCACCGGAATGGCTCCGTTTAAGGGAGCTCCGGCTGATTTTATTACGCCAAGCCAAATTGGATGTTTGTGGTCTTAAGGAAAAGCGATTGTGACATAAAATATATAATTTTTAAAGTAAAAAAACAACGGGTTCGACCCTGTCCCCTCTGTTCTCCATCCTTCTTCATCACCCTCGGTTCCCCAGTTTGGGAAATACCGAGAATTATTTGTTGATTTCTGCGGGTGAGACAGGAACTCACACTCGGGAGGGGGCGGTCAGGGAAAAGCCACTCGCAACCCGGCCGGGGGCTCCGCGAGGCAGCCGGCCTCATCGCCCCTGTGCCTGCAGGTCGGCCGGCTGGCCTCGCTAGCGGTGCGCACGCGGTGCCATTTACCCGGAAAGGATTGGGGCCCCGCTCTTCGGAGTCTGGAAAAGTCGAAATGCCGGCCCAGGCACCACAATCTTGGGGTCCTCGGAGCTCCCGCGGAGGGCCGAAGCCTCCGCTTGCCCCCGGCACAGGACAGCCTCCCCCGACAGCGCTGGTGGGATGGAGAAAGCGCCCCTCGGAAAGCCCGGTGCGCGTTCCCGTGGCAGAGCCCGCGGCGGGACACAGTGAATGGAACAGGCTCACGCTACTTTGTGCAAAACAACTGCACTCCCGCTGGGCCCGCTCCGCGCCCGCCTCGACCACAAGGGCTGCCCTAGGGCGACCGCAGGGGCTGACTCCAGGACCCGCCTTGTCCCGTGGGGAGTGGGCATCACGCGCAGGACGGTCTAGGGCCCGCCAACCCCCGGCCTCCGTGCAGATCCCGGAGGCCGCCCTCTCCGCGCCCAGCAGTTGACAGTGGCTCCCGGCGGTGGAGACCGGCGCGGCCCGCTCGGCTGGCGGAAGACCGTGGGGGGGATGGGGGACTCGGTGGCCCTGCCCGGGCCTGGCCCGCCAGCGCCCGCGGCCCATTCTACTGTCACTTCTCATTACGATCCGGCTCTATTTTCCCGACCGCATTGTCCCCTTCTCCTCCTCTCTCCTCCCTCCCCCATTTACTGGGTGGTTTTAGCCCAGATTTAGCCCCCACCCTCTCTCCGAGGATGGGGGCGGAAGGCAGCCCTGAGTGCGGTCCACCCTTTCCCAGGTCGATCTCTGACCCGAGACCCAGCCTCCGACTGGGGAGCCAGGCGCGAGCCCGTGTCCCCGGGGCCTGAAGGGCCCCCGGGCGCTCCACGTGGCATCCGCGCGGCCGGGAACCCCGCATCCTGCGCTCAGAGGACGGCCTGCGTTCCGGTGCGTGGCTGGCGGGCTGTGGGTGCGCGCCTTAAATTAAATCTTCGCAGCGTCTGACCTTGTTTTTTCCTCGGCCTGAAAGCGGCAGCAGCTGGGTTTTTTTTTTTTCAGAATTCCTGCTGCTGGGGGAGGGGCGTTATTATTATTATTTTTGGTTGTTGCAACCTCCTGGAAAAATTCCCTGGTCTCAGAAAGCGTAACAATAGACTAGCGGATTTCTGGAGGAAGTGCCCCCTCCCCTGTTTTCTCCAGGGACGCTTCTGCCCTCAGGATGCTAAGGAGACTTCTGTGGGGAGTGGGGACCAATTCTCCTACTCTGACCCCAGCCCCCTCCTCGTCCTTCAGAACCTCTCAAATCTACCTCGAGTCTGACTCCCAAATCTACGTGGGGTCCTGCCCTCGCCCCCATCACTCCTGGGAGAGGTCACAGCTTCCTGAACTGGGGAGTAGTCTCCTCCAGCATCCGTGGGGGAAGGGACAAGAGGTAGAGCTTTCCAGCCCCCCGCCCCCTGCACTGGGGGCAGTGGGGGGGGGGCGGTGTCCTGTCCCCTGGAATCCTATCCCTGTTTGCTTTGGGGGTCAGCTTTAGATCAGAGGCAGTTAAAGATTAATGGGCCTGGGCCCTGGGGGATGGTATGAAGGGGCTGGGGAGGGAATCTGTTCCCTCCCTGGGCCATCAGTCCCCTGCTGGCCTCTGTACTCTCTGTGCTGGGCATGAAGTCCTGTTTCCTGATGCTGCTCCTCCACCCTTGGGGCTGAATCTCGGCTTCAGGCAGCTATCTGGGGCCCACCTGTCTGACCCAGGAGGAGGTAGGGGGGCATGTACTCTGGCTGCTAACTATACACATGACCCCGATTCCAGCTTCACCCCTAGGGACCCCCGCTACCTGGAGTGGAAAGCAGAGGGGAACTCTGACCCTCTTGGCCCCCTCCCCCACTGGGGCAAGAAGCCCAGGAAAATGGCCAAGGCCGGGCCCAGGAGGGGCCAGGGAAAGCAAGGCCGGCCAGCGGGTGTTGCAGTGTGTGGCTGGTCTGGGCCTCCCTGTATCAGCCTCACTGGAGGTGTGGGGGTGAAGGTAGAAGGGGCTGCTGGGGGCTCTTACACAGCTCAGCCTGGGCCTGCATCTCCCCCCACTCCTTGGATAGAGAGGGGAGGGGGTCCAGGGGAAGAGGCTTCTTCGTATCCAGTGGTCCCCAGGAACACCTGACTCCTCTCACTCAGGAGGGGCCACACTGCAGAGCCCACAGGGCCTTCCTTGAAGCCCCTCATCCTGCCCGTAAATGTATTTACCCTGGTGTGACACCAGGTGCGTGGCTTCTGTGACGCCGGGTCCCCGGCCTGCGCGAAGACAGGAATTGAACTTTAGTCTCCAGGCAATTAAGGTGGCAGGGACTATAGTTCATTAATGGTTGTTATGCAATAAAAACGATAAAATGGCCCTGATTTTGCAATTTAAAAATGCAATTTATTTTAATTTATGTTTCTAAGTATTTATGGGGTTTCATGGGGGGCAGCTCGGGTATCACTGAGGGGGTTGGGGCCACAGCCCATCCATTTGGAGGGACAGGAAGTGGCTGAGATGAAATGCGACCTGGAGCAGCAGAAAATACAGAGGAGACTGAAGGAGTGGGCCCTGGCTTTAGGTTGGCGAGAGCTGGACATTCTGGGCTGCCTTTTACAAAGCGGTGGAAACTGACTCCGAGGCCTCGCCCTTCTGTCTCTGGCTCCTGCAGAGTGGGCCGGGGAAGCACTCCTGAGCCAAACATCCGGAAGCGTGCTGGGCAGGACTGTCTCCGGGGACCCTGGGACCTTGGGCACAGAGGCTTCCCCGCCCCGCCCCACTTGCGGCTGGGCAGGTTCCTCAGGTCCCAAAGTAGCCTGCCTGTTGCCTTTGGAGGCTCCTTGTGTCAGGAGCCTAGCTGTGGCTCTGTCCGCCTTTTCCTGGCTTTATGAGTCAGATGTCCGTTTCTACAGCCTCTGGAGGGTCCAGCTGTCCTGTCCCCAGCGCTGTGTGCTTAACCCGGACACCATATGCACTGCCAAGGCCTGAGGGCCCAGACACTCTCTAGGTGTGTCTCCCTGGTTTCCTTCTGCACCCCTTCACCCCCCACCCACAGACAGACCTCAGGCACTTAGAGAACCCAGGATTATGACAGCAACCTTGCAAGCCCAGCCACAGACCACAGCGGACACTTGAGAGGTGAGGACACCTGTGGGAGAGTTTGCAAGTTAGCCTCGAAGGTGGAGGGGGCTGGCTTCAGACAAAAAAAAAAAAAGGGAAAGGAAGTATGGGAAGGACCAGGGCTGGGGATTGTTGTGCACAACATCAGAAAGCCTGGAACCCACTCCATCCCTGGTGATCACAGGGTCCTGGGCCATCAGCATCTGCCTTTCAGACATCCAGTGTTAGACGAGTGACTTTGTCGTGGACACTGTCAAAGCCAGGGCTCCTGGCCCAGGTTGACAAGCAACATGCACCCCCTGCAACATGCACCTGCGCGCGCGCACGCACACACACACACATCCCTTGATTTTAGCATCACACAGCCACAGCCAGGAAAACCAGAGAGAGGCAGCCTTGGCCCCTCCTGCAGCTCACTCCCACAGGTGGGTGCCTGGGGGCTGGGGAGCAGCCTCCTAATTCCTCCTCACCCTCCAGACTCCTAAGGCTCATGGACTCCACCCCCGCCCCGCAAGGATTGTCCCAGGCCTCTGCCTCCCTCTCCCTTTTCTTCTGGGCACCTTGGCCTGCTGAGTTAATTGGCAAACTTTCCCAGAAGTAAACTTGATGGATGGAAATTAATAATTTTCCCAACGATGCAGTCATTGCTAATCATGCCGGCTGGGAGGAGGGGGCCTGGGTGAAGGCTGGTGGGGTGGGTGGGGGCACGGGCTGAAAACCACTAGCATGAATGATATCTGCTGGGGCTGGAGGGGTTCCTTACACAATTTAGGAGTTTTGTAGCCCCAGTGCTGGTGCAGTGCTGGCAGCAGGGAGGGTGCTTGGGGAGAGTCTGAGCCACCTCTACACTCCCATGGTCTCTTGCCATGAAACCTGGACCCCACGAAGTCCACTGGGGTGCTTCCAGCTGGGTTCTCTTACACAGCAGAGGTGTGAGAAGGGGAACCCTGACTGTATACTTGGAGGCCTGTTGGGGGAAGGGGCCCTGAAAGGAGAGAGAAGAGAGGATGGCCATGAGGGCTGCATATGGCATCAGGGCAGCCTCCCCCACTTTGGAGCTTTTCTTTTGAAGATGACCGAGGTCTTGCTGGTCCACCCAAGGCAGAGGGTGCCTCGTGCTTGGGAACCTTTTTCCCAGGACTCCTGTAAAGAGGCACAGTCCCCATCGCTATCATTGTGGAGCTCTGGGCCTCATCCTGATAGGCCTGGGTGGAAAATCAGTGATTGGACAAAACAGGCCTCTGCTCAGGACTTTGCATCCCTGGGAGAAGCGAGGAAACAGTGCCTGATAACTGGATCCTCAACAGCACTTCACCACAGTGAGGGGTTCTTGGAGCCCTCAGTGAAAGCGCATGCTGGATAGTGGCCTGGGAAGTGTGGGCATGACCAGCACGTAGCCTAGATGGTTGTGACTCAGGCAGCCCAGCTACTGCCCAGGAGGCCTGGACAGGCTGCAGTTAGTGATAGGAGGCACAAAAAATGTTTTGTTGAATGAATGAATGAATGCATGAATGATGGATGGATGATAATGTTTCACCAGGCACAAAGATGATTTTCTTGGCCTTTTCAGCATCCACAGCCTGTTGGTGGCAGAGCTGACTTCACTGGCTCCACCCAGAAATTTTCTTTGGAGAATCAGAGATCAGAGCAAACCCCTAGGGAGAAAGATGAGGTGGGGAGGGTTGAGAGGGCCACCTGGCGTCTTCCCTGCAATGACCAAGTTCACAAGGGACAGAAGAAAGACCCTCTCCTTGAAGGCAGGGGCACATGGGGGGCCTGGGATGCAGTCTACCCCCATTTTTGACCACACCACCCCAGCATCTTCAGGCTGGTGAAATGGGACCAAAATGAAGCTGGAGGAACTGGGATATGATTAAGGAGAGAAGGATAGTGTAGATAAAGGGAGCAATGAGAGGAGGAGAAGGGGGTAAGTCCCACTTGTCCTGGTGGAATTGGCTCCAGGCTGACTGCCACAGCTGGTCAGGGCCTTTCTATCCTCTGGCAGGTACAGACCTCTTCTTGGGCTTGGTGAGCTTGGGCTGGCCCACACTGCCTGCCGTGGGCACCCTATGGGGACTGCCAAATAACTGTCCCAAGGCAGCAGGTACACAGGGGAGGAAGGAAAGGAGAAGGAAGAGAAAGAAACTGGCTCTGTCATCACTTGACAGCCTTAGCATATTAAAGATGAAGAGGCCCAGAGAGGTTCACTATGTGCCTGAAGGTACACAGCAGGATGTGAACCAGGCCTGTCTGCCTGGGAAGCCTGCCTGTGTCCACGACATGACATATTGCAGATCAATTAAAGTCGTCAGCCCAGCAGGGCGCCTAATGGTGCCCCCCACCCCACCCCCACCTGAGACTGTGCCTGTGGCCCAGAGCCAGACAGCTGTCCCAGCTTCCTGGGCTAAGCTGCTTCT